CGTGTGTGTGTGTGTGTGTGTGTGTGTGTGTGTGTATATATATATATATATATATATATATATATATATAGTGTTTGTCACAGAACTTATTCTCTGCAATAACCCAAAAGCCAATGGAAAAATTATTTCAAACTGTTTTAATGCACCTAAGACACAAGATGCTAAAAAAATATTCCACGCGACTGCTGTTCTAGTACCATTAGCAAAATTAAATTAAAACATTACAGGTTAGCTGGTTTCAGGGGGTCTAGTATTAATGTCAATTAAATAAACCAGAACTAGGTGAATGTTGATACAGCTCTAAGCAACAACAGGAGGCTTTTAATAGCAAAGAGTGAAGGAAAATTAAAATCTTTTGCTCAACAGAACCAGTCAGGTGATCTCTGAGTCCAGATTTCAGACTTCTCAGAGTTCAGTGTTGAAGAGTGAAGCACAGAGAGCAGATAAAACCTGACGACTCATGTATCACCTGTGACCTTCAGAGCAGGAAGGAGGACACGGAAGACCAGTTTGTTTTAAAGAAACTGTACTAATTCTCATGTGAACTGTTTTCAGATGTTCAGATGTGTCTCCTTGTTGCACATCGGTGCAAGGTGCTGCACAGATCAGGTCAAATGAAATGTAGAAGAACAAACTGACATTTCTTTTAATTTTGGTTGGTTTTCTGCTTTTTCTTTTATCTTTGTTTCCTAGAGTGCAGAGTGATCACTGTGTAAAGATGACAGTTTATTTTTTTACACTTCATCACAGGTATTTTCCATCTTGCATAGAGTAAACCGAGAACACAAGATGTGTTAAATACAGAGCGATCAGAAAGGAAGTGGTCATCACTGCAACTTAAGTGTTGAAGTGAACAAAAACTGCACCAGTAAAACAAATACATAGAACAAAGATTAGCAATTTGTAGTTCCTATGTAACGTTTTTTATCCTTCTTTTGTTTCTTTCACTTTTTTTCTTTCAAATTTCTCTTGTCCCGGAGGCCACAGGTGAAAATGACTCTCCAGTTAACTCTGGTGCAGCA